AGGACACCGTGCCGGAGGTCGGCGGGGACACGCTCTGGGTGCGTTCCGTCCCGTCTGGTTGAAACCGGATGGATTGAACTTGATGCAGGCGTCTGGATATTCCGCCTACGATAAATTCTCGCCCGGTTTCCGCGCCATCCTCGACGGTCTGAAGTGAGTTATCTCATCTGTGCAGTTGGAGCGAATCCTTGATTAATTTTGGACCTGTAGCGGAATCTATCGGTCGGCGCACCAGTACAAGGACGCGAACGACCCCAGCGCTCCGCCGCGCCATGTGCACATCGTCCACCCCTTGGTACGTTTAGCTCGACCGGCCAGGGACACAGAACTTACTTGGAATTAGGTGCGCACACACCCAGTGACGGGTTTCAAGACCGTCTTCGCCAATCGCTCGATGACCGTCGGCATCGAGGGCCTCGACAAGGCCGAGAGCGACGCCATCCTCAACCATATCCACGAGTGCGTCCTATTGCAATTCAGATGTTTACATTCTGACGCGCAAACGCAGTGTGTACGAGAAATCGACCGACCTGCAAATCCGCTGGAAGTGGACGCCCGGAACCTCCGCCATGTGCGTTCTTTTTTTCCCTATGACATTAGTTGGACCCGAGACTGATTTGCGCGTTCAATAGCTGGGACAACCGCTCGACCATCCACACCGTGTCGTACGACTACGAGGGCAAGGGCGAGCGGCATGGCACACGGGTCAGCTCCCTCGCGGAGAAGCCGTTCTTCGACCCGAAGTCCAAGTCGCGACGGGAGACATTGGGGTTGGATGCTTGAGGGGTCGCATTTAAACAAACTGTAATTGCAATAAACAAATATGAAGTTCTTCCAGAAATTTCCACGTGTTTGAAGACCCGGTCGAGGCGCTCGAAATATTAAAGTCGCTGAATTCTTTCTGACTCGTATGTCGTCATTGCGGTAAATCTGTCAGATGTTTTCGTGAATCGATAGATCCCCGCGAAGATTCATTATGATGAAGGATATCTAACTCTACCGTATGGAAGCTGTGCCCAGCAAACTAAATAGTCCTCAACAGACAAAACAACAGGGAGAGATAAAGTCAGATCAATCCAGGATACATTCTGTCGTTCAAGATACCCAGCTTCCTCGTACACGTATACATCAGCCGCCACATCACTCGGACGCATATTGCTGCGTCCACTCACGGCTGACGCGCTGTGCGTCCTTCTCGTTCTCCTTGTAGTGCTTGGCGACGTCGGGCGCGAGGGGGTCGTCCGGGTTGGGGGCACTGAGGAGGGCTTGGACGGACAGGAGGACGGTGCGGATTTGAAGGGCCGGGGACCACTTGTCTGTGGCTTCTCGGTGAGCGCAGGTGGATTCGTAGCCACAAGGCACGCACCCTTGAGGATATCCAGACAGATCCGACCGAGTTTGTCTGAATGACACGAGGGTCAATTAGGCACGCATGAAGCACGTAGAGACGCCCGAGGGGGCCCAAAGCTCACCGATATTGGGATGGTATATCTTGGTGAGAAACCGGACCTTCGGGGGCGCCATCGGGTACTCTTCTGGTAAGAAGAGTTCCAGCTTGAATATGCCCTCTGCAGCAGAAATCAGGTCAGTCTTCGGAGTCATAGGAACGTCGCGGATACGGCGGATGGGGCCGGTGGAGGTTAGAAGGGGATTCATGGACAACATTTGGGGTCGGAGACGTAAAAAGGAAGATAGAAAACGAGTACGCACGCTGGAATGGGCTGCCATCGGGACCCTGTATCGTCACGTCGAAATACCGGAGATTATCGTCGTGCGGCGCAGCCGTTATGCCTGGAGCGGGGTCCGCCACTAGACGTTCGGTTTCCTGCCAAATCGCCCGGTTCAAAAGCTGCTCAGTGGGCCACAAGCGACGAGGAGTACCTTGATTATGCGCTAATCCGATAAGAAGGGCGAGTCGTTGTGTGAGTCCTGTGCCAGGTAGACGAGCATGGGACACAGTAGACTTGCCTTGGGTAGAGACATGGTCGTGTGGGAGGAAGGGAAGAGGGGGAAGTGGCGGGAGACGACAAGAAATCGGAGACGATATGCTTTGTCAGCAGCGCCTTTCGTCCATCACCTTCCATGCCACTCGAGCAACCTTGAGCGTTTCCTCAGAGTCACTAGTAGTCCTCATGTCGACTGGATTCGTTGAGCACCCGTTCCGATGGTTCCCGTACTTCCGCGCCATCCTACGTACGCCGTTCCCCGTCAAGTGTACGGTACTGCGGGAAGGTTTCTTATTCCGGTCACGATGTCATTCATCTCAAATCAAGGCTTTGATTTCCGGGAGGCAGCCGTAGAATGTGCGCAATGGACCCCGTACCTTGTAAGGACGTCTCGGCAGGCCCAGATGAAATTCAGCCCTTAAAACCGCTCACTCGAGCGACTGCGCGCGGCCAATCTTTTCGCCTTACGATCGACTCTTCCTACATATGGACGACGAGAAGACATCGCAATCGAAGCGGGATGCTGCGATTGCCGAGAGCCAAATACTGAGCGGTCGCAAGTTGGCCGTTGTTTTCTCTGCAATGCAAGTCTTCGTTCTGACCCAAAAGAGAGAGATCGATTGACAAAAGTCCCAGACTACTTTCTGTACTTCTTACTGCTCTAGATCAAACTATTTTATGTGTGTTTTCGTCCTATATCGCAGCACAGGGCCCTCTTACCGCATAGCAGCAACGGCTCTTCCTCGCATCGCATCTGTATGGATTTCTTCAACTCGATTGGTTGAATTATTTTGATTTAATTTGCAGCATTTCGACTCGTTCGCTCTCCAAGGTTGGATTGCCGACTCTTACATCCTGGCGGAAACCGCCTTCCTCCTCGTTCACGGCAAACTGCTCCGCATCTTCGCGGCGAAATATGTCCTCATCGCTGGGATCATCCTCTTCGAGCTCGGATCCCTCGTTTGTGGTCTGGCACAGGGCGTCGGACAGATTATCGCAGGGCGCACTTTCAGCGGGATAGGCGCAGCGTCAATATGTGCGTCGTGGACTTTTTCTGGCAGGAACTGATTTGTCTCTCTGCCCGCAGTCGTGTCGATGATACAAGTGATATCGCAGGCAACGCGCCTCGAGGACCGCGCACGTCTCTTTGGAATTTTTGGTGCACTCTTTGGCATGTCGTCCATCATTGGGCCCCCCATTGGCGGTGGGCTAACTGACAATGTGCGTCTATCCTTTGGGCCTTCTTCAATGGTTGACTCTCCCGGCAGGTTTCTTGGGTTGGTGTGCTCTCCGAGGGCGGATACCAGGTCTGAATGCGTCCCTAGCGCTGGTGCTTCTATATCAACATTCCCATTGGCATGTTTTCGCTCTGCGTCGTTGCGTTAACTCTTCCCGCCTCGCCGCCACTCGGATGTGACCCCGCTACGCGCTCTCCGAGGGACTTGTTACGCCAGGTGTTGCATATGGATCTCCTTGGGGCCGTTCTGAACGCGGCTGCCGTAACCTGCCTGGTTCTTTCTCTCCAATGGGGTGGCAACACAAAGGCGTGGTCAGACCCCGCCGTCATCGTGGTCAGTAATTATTTAGAATTCATATACAGACATCCTGATCCGGACATTGATTCAGTGTTTTGTGATTTCTGGGCTGGCAGCGATTGCGTTCGTCCTCTGGGAGAGGCACATGGGGTTCGACGCTCTAGCTCCCATGTCGGTCTTCAAAAATCGCAGTGTGTGCGTCCCTATACTTCCTCTCCCTCCTCTGAACTTCCCAGCACGTCTCTCCAGTTATGGCGCCGTTGCATTTGGCTTCCTCACGCGGTTCTCGCTTCTGATCTTCTCCTATGTGCGCCGCCGCATCTCGAAGTCAATTTTTTCTTAACAAGCGATCAGTACATCTCCATTTTCTACCAGGCCGCGAAACATAAGAGCGCAGTATCCGCCGGAATTCATCTGCTACCCTTCATCCTAGCGGTCTCCGTCACCTCCGTCACCTGCGGACAGCTCGTCTCACGGACTGGCTACTAGTGCGTTCTGCGATTCAACTCCAGTGCTCCATACCGATAATCACGAAATCCAGCTGGCCATTTATCGTCGCCGCCCCGTTTTTCCTGGGGTCCGGGTCCGGCCTGCTGTACTCCATCGAAACAACCACCCCGGTGGCCCATCTCATCGGCTTCCAGATCCTCGCGGGTGAGGAATCCCGTGTGATCGGACGCTACCATGATGTTCACTTGTTGCGCAGGTATTGGGACGGGCCTGGGGATGCAAAACGCTTTTGTAGTTATGACGTGCGCCCGAACTGTTCATTGTATCGTCCTTCTGATACCTCTCATCACACCAGAGTCGAATTTAGGGATGATCCAAAGATGATTGGACCGTCGATGAGCATGGGTTCATTTGCGCAGGTACCCGATCTTTTCCGAGGCAGCGGCATATTAATTTACCGTTTTAGTTTCTCGGCGGGACGATTGGGCTCGGTGTCGCGGAGCCTGTCTTCGCGTCGCAGCTTTCAAAGTACCTCTTGAAATATGCGCCGGATGCCCCCGCGGCGGTCGTCAGAGAGTCTCCGACGTCGATATACACCGATCTTCCGGCAGCGATGGTCCCGGGCGTGGTGGAGGCGTACACCTCTGCGCTCAAGACCGTGTTTCTTCTCGGGGTCCCTGTAGGTGCGTGATAGGCGTATGGTTGTTTCCGTGTCCACTGAGGCGTGCCAATCTCCACAGCGGCCCTTTCTCTCGTTTCGGCCGCCTTTATCAACAACCTGAAGATTGTGCCGAAACCAAAGCCGGAGGTCAAACATTCAGAAGAAGTGTAACAACGCTGCAACATATCACCCGACATACGCTATTGAACAGACCATTTTCCCAATTTCTCTGTCAATGTTATTCGGCAGGATGTTCATCAACATACTAAATGTTTAGTCAGATCCTCATTTAATGAATTAGATTGATTCACTGGACGGCCATACGATCTAAATTCATCTTCTGGTCCTGGTTCCTTTTCTGCATCCAGGGCCTTGAATTGACATCTTTGTCTGTTTCTAAGCCAAGAATCAGGTATGGTGTAGTGGCAACACATCCATTTCTTGTTCCGAAGTGCAACAGAAATCAATGGAAGTCTAGAGTTCGATTCTCTGTACCTGATGTGCCTTTTTTTATGGATGAGTTTTGCAGGAACGTCACTGGCCTGAAGCCACTCCCCCCAAGGCTAAGTAGGAATGCTGGCAACGCCATGTTTGCCGTGAAAGCCCAGAATTAGGTAGCAACGCCGTGTTTGCCGTGAAGCACATTGCCCGGCCTACACGCGTCGATTGCTATCTTACATCGGCCGGAGATTTCGACCGACGTTGTTGCGCAGCTCGTCGAGTACCTCGATGTTCGATACCATCCGCCGTCTTCTCGGTATCAACTCCCGCTCGATGCTCTGTTCACGAGAATGCCCATTTGAACCCAATGCCTTCTGGTGGCCTTATCACGCCTTCGCTTCCTGGTACGGGGGATGAAAGGAGAGTGCGGTCCGCGCTGCTTGACTCATCCTCCAGGAACCCGTTTAACCCGGGACATGGGAAGTAGGATAAACTTGGAATCGCCCACCTCTTCGGATAAACATCGCTGACTAGGAAAATGATCGGATTTTGTCGGGCCGACAACCGATGTCATCGGACCTCATCGGACCTTGGAACTCATTTAAACTGCTTGCCACTCTCAACTCCTACAAAGCTACGATGGCAACATTCTCCAAAAGCTCGTTCAACTCTGCAAGTTATGCTGTGTATCGACCCACGTATCCACGCCTTCTTTACGACGTCGTCCTGCAGTTCCACAAAGACGGTCCCGCGAACGCCGCAGACAAGTGGGAGCGTGCAGTCGACCTTGGTTGCGGAACAGGTACGTCGCGGAACCTCCCCATTATTACCTCACCGAAATCGCAATACTATAGGACAGGCGACGGTCCAGCTGCTCGCCGGTATGCCGGGTCTCGAATTTCGCTATGATAAGAGAAGCTCAAGTAATTTTCTGCATTCCAGGTGATGAACATCCCGGGTTCCAGAGCGTATTGGGTCTCGATCCCAGCCCGAATATGGTTCAAGTCGCCGGAGAGTCTCTACCTGAGCAATTCAGAAGCCGGGTCGATTTCCGGCAAGGTTTTTCAGAGGACCTCAGCTTCATCGAGGACGGGACCGTTGATATCGTCACTGCAGGTACGTGCTTCAAAAATATTTGCAGCTTGATCCTAGCGTTGCATCAGCCCAATCGGCGCATTGGTTCGACTGGACTAGAGCGTGGCCGGAACTCCACCGAGTACTGAAGCCCGGCGGAACGTTCGCATTCTGGGTGCGTCACCGCGTCGCTTCCCCCACGCACGTATCACTGTGACAGCTAATTAATACACCCAGGGATACACGGAAATGCGGCTCACCGCGCACCCCGAGCTGACCCCGATCATCAGCGCGTACGCGCAAGGCCCGGACCCAGCGACGTCCCTCGGGCCGCACTGGGAGCCCGGGCGCAAGATCCTCGACAACCACTTTCTCGGCGTCGACGCGCCCGCGGCGGGCTGGACGGGCCTGACGCGCGTCTTCTACACGGGCGCGCACTACCCCGCGCTGCCCGCGCCCCGCGAGGTGATCGTGAAAAAGCGGATGCCGTGGGGCGAGGGCTTGGGCGGCTACCTGCGCACGGCGAGCGCGCTGCACCGCTATCACGAGGCGTACCCGGAGGACCTCGCGCGCGCGGACGGCGATATCGCCACGCGGTTTCGACGGGGGCTGATGGAGGCCGTTGGGGTTCCCGAGGGCGCTGAGGGGGACGCGGCGCTCGTTGACGTCGAGTGGCCGCTTGCGCTGATTATGGTGCGAAGGGTGTAGACCAGAGATTGTTCTCCGCGATTTTCTTTTTCTTCTGTGACTCGATCAGGGCGATTTGACCATTGGCTGGTATTTTTGTCATCCTACTATTACCTACTTTGTAAATTAACCCCAAGCATCCTAGCATTCAACTGCTATCTACTTTTTTGTTGTGCTAGCGCCTGGGAAAAATTCAGCCCACTTGAACTTGGAAGCTTGAAGCTGTGGAATCAAAGACCGGGTGAGATTAATCCAACCTACCCCGTAAATCGAATAGGGGCATATCGAGTTCCAGGTAGGTAGGTAGGTAGGTAGGTATATTCCGGCGCGGTCCCGTTAATATACCTGCCCGGGTTTTCGTGTGCCATGCAGTACCGTTTCCATGGCCGTGGTCCTTGCGCATCTAATCAGATGCGACTGATCCACGCCGAAGGGTTGGATCACAACCCAAAGAAACCGAGAGCAAAGTGTTGCCAGCCCAGATGGTTGTCGAGAGCAAGAGGAGAGTCAGGCTGAGTCAGGGGATGTGTGATCGACACCCACTGATGCACAAACCCTTTCTCGCGAATACTCGTCCCTCGTAAGCGAGAGAACCTCCATGCAGTCAGGCTCCTACCCACCCTCGCGTTCCGGGGTTGGGAGACACTGTAGCGGGATTTAGCTGTGGATTGTTAGTAGTCATACACTAAGACAAATCAAATCGTCCATCAAATTGATTGTTCTAGATTCATTATTGCTTCCGAACTTCAAGGCCCAACCCCTCCACGGAGGCTGGCCTTTAACAAAGGTAAACAACATAGCCACCCGGCCCCGCATCACCGCCATCATTCCCGTTTGGTGCCACCTCGCAATGGAGACGACGACATGGACTGCTCGCTCCCAGATCATCCGCATTGCCTCCGTCCTCGAGCAGGAAGCCGTTACGGCCTCGGACTTTGTTATCACCCTCCTGGAAAGAGAATCCTACCGTGATCACCCATGTACTACGAGCTTAGTGGAAAAGGCGCCAGAAATAATTGATCTATTTCCTAAACACCTTCGATCTGCCCAATCCACCTTCACATGGGCCCGGAAGATCATCCAGAAGAAGACCGCAGACTCGATCAAGCTCTTGACGGCAAATCAAGACTGGCACTTCGATGCAGGCCATGCTTCTGCCGAACAATTAGAGGACTTTCAGATTGAGGAGATGGCACAGTCAATGAAGGAAATGGCACCAGATCTCTGGAATTTATTGCACCTTCTGCTATCCAAAGACCACAAGGATCTCGACGGAGACCAAGTGATGGGTGGCACAAATGATAGTAAATTTGATGAGCTCGGGGATTTTGCGCAGCCCATTCTTGACGGTCCCACGTCGCGTGCCGAACGTGTTGAAAAGCGTCGTGAAGGGCTGAGAACAATTGTAAGTAATTCACTGTATGAAATATCTCGCTCTGTTGATGAAGACGTGACCGAGGGCGCGGAATGATCCCGGTGATGCGGGCGGGTGGCTATGTTGTTTACCTTTGTTAAAGGCCAGCCTCTGTGGAGGGGTTGGGCCTTTGAAGTTCGGATGTTTTAGTGTCGGCTAACAGTGATTTGACATTTCACATTACATATTGAGATTAAGCCGTGTTGTAACGCTACTCTGTCTTCCCAACCCCGTAACACGAGGGTGGGTAGGAGCCTGCCATGCAGTACCGTTTCCATGGCCGTGGTCCTTGCCAAGCCAATCAGATGCGACTGATCCACGCCGAGACGCCGAGGGCCAGCCAGCAAATGGACAACTTTCTTCGACCGTGGAGTCTAGGTTGTTGACCCGGTCTTTTTCGGCCACGAAAGCAATTGCGGACACCATAAATGTATGTCAAGACGGGCTGACACGGGCAAGCACAGCAATTTTCAAGTGCTGACCACGGATCGTGTTGTCGAAGGGGGCAATCATTTGTTTCCAACGGATCTTGTCATTCTGTAATCAGATCCCGAGGCGGGCCACCAGCACGAACTCCATAAAACATGTGGCCGACGTTGTGTCCCTCCTTGGTCCCTCCCAGTTTTTTCCCCCATACTTTCCTCTCTGTCTGTTTCCAGGACTGGTTCCTCCCCTCCATTCATTTCACGCATAAAATCCAACTTACATTCTTTAAATCATGATGTTCACTGGCAACAAATCCGTCCTGGCCTGCGCCTCCGTCTTCCTTGCGCTAGTCGCCCAGACCTCTGCGCATGCGATCCCCAAGTGTGTTTAGCCGATATTTTTCCGGGTTTGAAGTAGCCTAAACGCGGCCGAAATTAGCCCTGCGCTCGGCGTCAAAGGCACGCCTGCGCGCAGTGACGTGCAGCGTCCCTCCACCGCGGAGCCGTGTGGGACGATCAACCCGGCGACGGCGCTCGACACGTCCACGGCCATCCCCGCCGCCGCGGACGGCACCGTAACCCTGAACGTGGTGAACTGTGCGTGTTTATTTATTCCCAGCCTGGGATATCACACTAATTGGTGAACGCAGTCAACGCGTAAATGATTCCCCCTTCTGAATGGTCGTTGAAATAACATGGATGATTTAGCGGCACTGATGGATCGACGTCCGTGTCGGTCGAGGTTGATGCAACCGGCGTTGGAAAGACGTTCAAGGCCGCGACTGTCACGACAAACGGGAACCCGGTGCGCTGACTGCCCATTTCGCTCGCCTCTTTGCTCACCGCCAGCCATAGGACCCCACCAAGGTCGAATCGGACAAAGTGGTATTCAGGTAAGTTCCTAATGCGTCCGAATCCCAACTTAATTATCGCCAGTCTGCCCGCCGGGACTAAATGTACTGGTGGTGCAGCCAAGAACCTCTGCCTGGTCGTACGTGCTCGTATATATCCGTCCCGACTCGCCAATAACTGGCGTGCTTCAGTCTGTTAAAACCACGGCCGGATTCGGAGGGTGCACCGTCGTCTCTCAGGGCGCCGCCGCCGCCGCCGCCCCGGAAAAGGCGGCCACGACCGCTGCTGCGAAGACCACGGCGAAGGCTGCCACCACCGTGAAGGCGACCACGAAGGAGACCACGACTGCCAAGGCGGCGGCGAAGGCGAGTCTCTCTCATCTCCATCTCCATCCCTTTACTTACAGTTTGCAAAGACCACTGCGAAGGCTGTCACCACCGTGAAGACGACCGAGAAGGAGACCACGACCGTCAAGGCCGCGGCGAAGGCGAGTCTCTTTCAATTCCATCTGTCATCCCTTTACTTACATATCAATTTCTTGTTTCCGAATGCCAGACCACTGCGAAGGCGACAACGACCAAGGCTGCTGTGAAGGCTGCGACGAAGG